CTCTCCCGCTGGGCCGGCGCAGCCAGGCCAGGAACAGGAAGAAAGCAACGCAGGAGTTGCTGGGGCGGCGTGCGAGCAGTTGGCTGCAGGTCATCATGAGACTGATGGTTTCAGAGAGTCGCTGCCACTGCGACGAGAGGCAGGCGGCGAAGGAGCGCGCGACTAAGTGCTGGATGCCGGTCAGCTTGGTGGCTCAGTTGCATGCAGCAACGGCGGGCAAGCCGCATGAGGGAGCATGGGAGCACCGCGCCGACAGTGGCGAAGACTGAGGCCCCATGCATCCGCGCGCGGAACAACAGAGAGGAGGAGTCGGCTTCGTCTTGGACAGGGCCTGTCTCGAAAGTACTGGATATGCCGCGTGATGTTCTGGCGCTGGGAACTTGGGCTTCGGCATGGCTGGCGCTGCCATGGCCGCGGACATTCGTTGTTGCTATAGAAGCTCTGTGTGTCGGAAGTTTCAGCCGCGTGCTGCTGATGCTGCATCTGGTGTGTCTCCGCGCGGTCTCGATGTAGTCCAGAAACCTTTGGTCGTTGTCGCCGCGCGCGAATATGCGTTCCAAATGGTCCGCGATTGGAGCCAATGGGGCGGGCCCGGTCCGTCCATCCTGAGCTGGTGGCGCTTCAAGTGGAGAAATAACCCGTCTAGTGGCGTGCGTTGGGGGTGCAAGTTCTGGCGTCGGTATGTCGTAGAGCCATTGTTGCGCCCTGGCGCCTTATGGTGGTGGGCAAACGATTGGGGTCCTGAGGCTGGGTGGGGGTGGGTGAATCGGGCTCCTGATCGCGCGGGTGGTTTGCAGCTGGCTACTGGTGGTGTTGCACGCTGGCTTTGGTTGTTGCGGTGCGTCGTTGTCTGCTAGATGGCTGTACTTGGATGGCGTTATGTGGTGGGCTTGTTGTATCTGAATAGTTGGTGCTTCATGCGTGATCACTGTAACTGTCGGGCGTGGGCCGAGGCGTCCGTGGTTTGTACTGCGTGGCATTGGCTCGTCGTTGGCGTCGTCGCTGGGCCTGGTGCTCGTTGGTGTGTATCTCTTGACATGGTCGTCGTCGTGCTCGTAAATTGGGCTGCACATCTGCTGCAGCAGCTGTGCTGCGTCGTGAATGCGTACCGCCGGGTCGTACTTAGCGCTGTCCTCATAGTCGTGGCATGAAAACAACCATTGTGAGACAATAAGCGTTGCCTGAATAGCCGGCTCGCGCACGCTCTCTGCAGGGTTATACATTAATGCATCGACGTACCTGCTGGCGAAGACAGCTGCCAGCCTGAACTCGTTGTCGGACCGGCAATGGCTCGCGAAGTCCGAAATGTCGTTGCCGAGCCGCAGGCATACTCGGCCATTCGGTCCTGGCTTCCATGGAGGCAGGTGGTGGTCTGCAGGTGTAGTGTCTTGGTGGCAGTTTGAACGTGGAGAATGGTGTCGCTTGTGGGTCGGGCCTCAGAGGTGGGTGGGGAAGGCGTTGCTGGGGGTCGTTGTGCATGAGCGTCTCGTTGTTGAAATTGTCCAAGCATGGGTGCCAACCTGGTAGAAGGAGATGGTGAGCGGTAGCTACAGGTGTTGGTCTGCGCAAGGTAATACATGGCGCAATGCCATTTGCTTCCCTCGTAGACGTCGCCCCCACTGTCACAGGCGCTACGCGCCGTCCACCCGTCGGAGCAATGCATGTCGTGACTGCCATGTGGTGGTAACGAAATAAATAAGATTTGTTTCGTGGCCTCGTAGTCTGCATGGCTGTCTGCGTAGCTTTCTCTTTCCGCTGCGTCCGCGATCGGGGCGCACGTCGCTGCGTCGAACCCCTCGTTGCCCCATGGATTGTGGATGGTAGGCTGACTTGGTTGGGTCCGGGGCGCGATGGGTGCAGGCGTCTTGGCTGTTGGCAATTGTATAAGTGCATGGCTGGGAGGCGGCGGTCTCTCTGGGGTCTGAAGTTGATATGCGGCATGTACTGCTGCGGCCCAGTGCGCATCTGGCGCAGTCAGTCTTCGTATTCGTAACCTGCTGGCTCAGCCTGTCGCTATAGCTTCATCTGTCCTTGAACCACTTCGCAACGTGGATTGTCTGGCCCAATGTCGGTCGGCATGTTGAGCACTGATGTGGTTCGCATGCGTTTGGGAGGCTTGCGTGCGAAGCTTGTGCCGCGAGGGCGTGGCAGTTGCATCGTTGGCGTGGGCTTGCTCGCGAAGCTGTTTCTGGTCACTGGTTGCATGTGGGTGTGGTTGCAGGTGGGTTAGTGGCAGTGGTGTGGGCCTCAAAACATTTGCGGCCAAGCTGGGTTGTCTGGCGCAGGTGCCTTGAGCTCGAAATGTGTGGGAGGTGGTAGTGGAAACTGTGGTATGTACGGTGGTGGATCTCTTACTGACCCTGTCCACATATTTAGTAGCTCTGCTGCGCGGTCGTCGACGTACCGTACCTCCACTTACTCGGGTAGATGGTAGGATGACGGCGGCGCGAAGTGTCGAAGCGTCTTGTCCACGCTCGAAATCGTCCACGGTAGGTGTAATGTTGCGGCGCCTGATGTGTGGAACACGTCCGCTAGTGTTAGCTCGGGCCATGTATCTGTTGTCCCACAAATTGGTCATGGAGTGAAGGAACGTCTTGGTAGTACCGGCATTGAACTCAGCGTGGATGCCTCTGTGCTCATCGATGGTGGACTTGTATTGTTTCTCGTGCTGCTTGTCGTGAATCTTGCACGGCGTTTCCTTCAAGTACTTCTCCGTGGCGCCCTTGTGGCAGCGAGGGTGCCGTGGCCGTACTTTGTAGTGCTCTATGTCGCGGTTGATCTATTCCCCTTTTTGGTCACAAATCACCTCGCGTAGTATGTGGTGGTCGGTGGTGCCTGTGGGCATGCAAGGTTGTCCGTCACGTCAGTAGTCGGCGCGTCTGTCAAAATTGGGTTACGTCTGGCTTCTCAGCTCAATGGATGGATATGCTAAAACGTGAGCTTGTGCCAGTCCATTTTTGGTGAGACATATTCCAGTCGCTCTTTGAGTAGGTCGAAATATATCTGGCTCACGTCTGGAAGGCATGCTACGATGATGTGGCTTTGCTGTACTGTGCGTGCCCAGCCCTTCTATGTAGGAACCGAATGTACTCAGATCCCAAGTGGTTACGTGTATACATATAGACTCACTAGAACCATCGCGCGCGCCTCGCGCGCGTTCAAGTTCTAGCTAGAGTCACGATCATCGTCATCAATTTCACCCTCGTTCCCGCCATCTGCATTGCCATCGTCATGGTCATGGTCAACTTCACCATCACAACAATCATCATCACCATTAGCATCAGCATCGTGATCACCATTGCCATCGTCATCGTACTTTTCAGCATCATCATCCGCATCATCAACATCTTGTTGGTCGTCGTCGGCGTCGTCGTCGGCATACTCATCGTCATCATCATCAACGTCATCGCCGTCGTCATCCCCGGTCCACTGCAAAGCCCTGACCCACCTCCTTTTCCCGTTTTCCCTTTTCCCATCATCTTATACTCATCCTTTTCCTCGTCGGCGTCTCCCTGAAAGGGATCCCTGTTCCTTCACCTCCTCCTTCTCTTCTTCCCCCTCCTTCTCCTCCTCCTCCTCCTCCTCCCTGTCTTCTCCGCTCTTCGGTGTGTCCCTCCTTGCGCTCCTTCACCTACTTCACCTCCTTCCTCCTCTCGAGCCCTCTTCATCCTGCGTTCCCCTTCCCTCCTCGTCATCAGCCCTCCCCGAGCCAGAGAATCAAAGAACACTATAATCTTACAAGAACACTGTCCCTCCTGCTCTTCACCCTCCTATTCCCTCTGTTCGTCCTCCTGATCTTCCTCCCCCTCCTCCCCCTCCTTCTCCTCCTCCTGCTCCTCCTCCTTTCCCTCCTCGTCCTCCTCTTCTTCCTCCTCCTCCTCCTCCTCCTCCTCCTCCCCCTCCTCCTCCTCCTCTCCTCCTCCTCCTCCTCCTCCTCCTCCTCCTCCTCCTCCTCCTCTGTTCGTCTCTCAACGCACCCACAGGTGCATACTGGAACGCGTATCGGCAGCCTTTTTGGAAACATTGTGGCAATATCTGGAGCCGCTCTGGGCCTTTGTTGGCCCGTCTGAGGGCCCATTTCGGCCGTTCCGGGTCCCTCTTGGCTCGTCGTGGGGAGCTCAGCATCTTGGAACCCTCTTTGGGGCCTCTGGGCCGTGTGGGGCCCATTTTGGTAACCTCTTGGGCCGTCGCGACCGCTGGTAGAACCGAAAAGCGAAACCCCCAGAAATATACGTTTTTCCAGAAAGGAAATGCTTTTGAAAGTTTGCACGGTGTTGTCTGCCGCCCCATCGCCATTTTCCCGTCTCAAATGCATGAGCGTGGGCCGGGCCATGGCCCCGCCGCGGTGGGCGCGCCCGCGGCCTGGGCGGGCTTGCGGCTGGCGGGCGGCTGGCTGGCGGCGGTGGTGGCGGCCTCCACCACTTGCCCTGCCTGCGTCTGCCACGCGCCCGCGTGGCCGCCAGCGCCGCCGCCCCCGCCGCCAACGCCCGCAACCGAACGGGAACCCCTGCTGGCGAACAGGTCGCCCGCGCCGGCGGTCCGTCCCTCGGCGGAGGCGGTGGCCGCGGCGCTGATGGAGAAGCTGCCCTCGGCAAGCTGGGGCCGCGGGCCGCTCGGAGGCGGCACCGCCGCCCGTGGCTGGCCCAGCCTTGGAGCCACAGCAGGGCTCAGATATTCTCCTGGCCTGGAGTGTGGCGGCCTCGGAGCTCATCGTGCTGGTCGGCTGCTGCGCCGCGCCCGCCTTCGAAGTCATGCTGGTGTCACACAGCCGCCGTCGCGGGACGGGCGTGATCTGGCCGAACGGGTCCGCCACCGAGGCGAAGGCGTGGTGCGCTGAGCTCCGACCGGGCTTAGAGTTGGGACTCTGGCACCCGCGGGATACAGCGCGGCAAGAAAGGCTGCTGCTGAACCCCGCGGGAGGGACGTACTGGTAAGTGCTGGCACCCGATGCCGACACGCACGTGGATGACGCTGCTGGCGTGGTGGGCAACGGCTGCAGCATGGCCTTCGCTTGCAGTCCTGCTGGTGTGGCGCCCTCTGTGGCGCGCGGCTGTTTCTACAAGTTCGCGGAGCCTGTGCAGCTCGCCCGCCTTCAGGCTCTCGCGCAGCGCCCTCGGACAGCGCGGGGCGAGCACGGCGCAGGCGTGAGCGAGCCTGGGCAGTTCTACACCTGGGAGGGCGAGCTTCAGCCCATCGCGGACCCCGACCTGCGGCGCCGCCCCCCGCTGCGCGGGGCCGCCAGCGCGGTCGGCGGCACGGCGGCGCCGCCCGAAGGAGGGGCCCTGGCGGACGCCGAGGTGGCTGCCGCAGCGGAGGCGCTCCCCGACCTGGAGCCGCCCGAAGGCCGCGCCTGGTTCGTCGCCTCCCATGGGCCGCTGCCGCTCGGCAGCGTGGTGGCCCTCTCGGGGGAGAGCGTCCACCTCGATGCTGGGCGCGCGACCTTCCGCGAAGGCGACAGCTGGCAGATCGCGGAGGCGGTGCACGGCGAGAGGGCGGACGCCCACCGAGCCGAACGCCCTGGGGAGCTGGTCAGGATGCTGAGGCGGCGCCCTGGGCGGGCGCCGCCGCGCGGCGGCGGCAGCTGGCGAGGAGGCAGCCGCGACGTGTGTTGCTGGCGACGTTCCTGACCTGGACCTGCGTGAGCGGCTTGGCGCGCCGCCGCCCGAAGCTCGACCGAGGCGGGCGACGACGCGGGTGCACCGCGACGAACACGGTAAACGGCGAAAGCCGTGGAAGGACGTCGCGCGCCAGGTGCGCCGCTGCGCGTTCAACGACATGGCCGCTCGAAGATTCGCGACGTCCAAAGTCAAGAAATAGGCGAAGCCAAGACACATCGGGAGGTGCCCCCCGACGCCCTTGTGGAGCTTATATTGTAATATTGACAGCGCGCGGACATATAACACATCTCTCGACACCATATGCGTTTTTCGCGCACAAGCAATGTTGCAGCGCGAGGGAAGCACATTTGATAGCAAGGTTTTCCGCGCGAATTAACACATGCGGCGCCGCTCGCCCGCGCCGCGTTTCTCGAGGCGCGATCTCTGCTCTCAAACAATTGTGAAAGATGGGGCCTCGCAGCAGACATGATGTTTGCCTTTGGAGGGCCTTCTCAGCTGCCTCTTGGGCAGTCGTGTGTGTGTGTGTGTGTGTGTGTGCGTGTGCGTGTGCGTGTGCGTGTGCGTGTGCGTGTGCGTGTGCGTGTGCGTGTGCGTGTGCGTGTGCGTGTGCGTGTGCGTGTGCGGGTGCGGGTGCGGGTGCGTGCGGGTGCGGGTGCGGGTGCGGGTGCGGGTGCGGGTGCGGGTGCGGGTGCGGGTGCGGGTGCGGGTGCGGGTGCGGGTGCGGGTGCGGGTGCGGTGCGGGTGCGGGTGCGTGTGCGTGTGCGTGTGCGTGTGCGTGTGCGTGTGCGTGTGCGTGTGCGTGTGCGTGTGCGTGTGCGTGTGCGTGTGCGTGTGCGTGTGCGCGTGTGCGTGTGCGTGTGCGTGTGCGTGTGCGTGTGCGTGTGCGTGTGCGTGTGCGTGTGCGTGTGCGTGTGCGTGTGCGTGTGCGTGTGCGTGTGCGTGTGCGTGTGCGTGTGCGTGTGCGTGTGCGTGTGCGTGTGCGTGTGCGTGTGCGTGTGCGTGTGCGTGTGCGTGTGCGTGTGCGTGTGCGTGTGCGTGTGCGTGTGCGTGTGCGTGTGCGTGTGCGTGTGCGTGTGCGTGTGCGTGTGCGTGTGCGTGTGAGTGTGCGTGTGCGTGTGCGTGTGCGTGTGCGTGTGCGTGTGCGTGTGCGTGTGCGTGTGCGTGTGCGTGTGCGTGTGCGTGTGCGTGTGCGTGTGCGTGTGCGTGTGCGTGTGCGTGTGCGTGTGCGTGTGCGTGTGCGTGTGCGTGTGCGTGTGCGTGTGCGTGTGCGTGTGCGTGTGCGTGTGCGTGTGCGTGTGCGTGTGCGTGTGCGTGTGCGTGTGCGTGTGCGTGTGCGTGTGCGTGTGCGTGTGCGTGTGCGTGTGCGTGTGCGTGTGCGTGTGCGTGTGCGTGTGCGTGTGCGTGTGCGTGTGCGTGTGCGTGTGCGTGTGCGTGCGCGTGCGCGTGCGCGTGCGCGTGCGCGTGCGCGTGCGCGTGCGCGTGCGCGTGCGCGTGCGCGTGCGCGTGCGCGTGCGCGTGCGCGTGCGCGTGCGCGTGCGCGTGCGCGGCGCGTGCGCGCGCGTGCGCGTGCGCGTGCGCGTGCGCGTGCGCGTGCGCGTGCGCGTGCGCGTGTGCGTGTGCGTTTGGGTGTGGGTGTGGGGTGTGGGTGTGGTGTGGTGTGTGTGTGTGTGTGTGTGTGTGTGTGTGTGTGTGTGGTGTGTGTGTGTGTGTGTGTGTGTGTGTGTGTGTGTGTGTGTGTGTGTGGTGTGTGTGTGTGTGTGTGTGTGTGTGTGTGTGTGTGTGTGGTGTGTGTGTGTGTGTGTGTGTGTGTGTGTGTGTGTGTGTGTGTGTGTGTGTGTGTGTGTTGTGTGTGTGTGTGTGTGTGGGGGGGGGGCTCATTCTGGGCATTTTGTTGCCTGTCTGGGAGCGCGCTTCGGCTGCCCCTAGCCCGTCTTGGCACGTCGTGGGTTGCTGAGCCGTCTTGGAGGCCCTCATGGAGCCCTCTCCGACCATGTAGGGGTCCTCTGGTGGTTCCCTCGGGCCCCCCGGGGACTCTCGGGCTGTTTTGGAGCTCTCTTGTGCTGGTCGACGCTCCATTGAAGCTGTCTTGGGGCCCTCTTGGGGACCCCGTGGACCGTGCGGCGCCGATTTGGGGAGCCTTCGGGGCCGACGTGGCCGCCGATGGAACACAAGACGCGCACGTCATAGAAATGTAAGTGTTTCCATTGGAAGCGATAGTTTTTGCACCCGGGGGCCGTCTCAGCGGCCTCCTGAACCGTCTGCGAGGAGTCCTGGTCGGTCTTTTTATGCCCTCTGGGGGCCCAGTTCGGCCGTTCTGGGCCCCTCTTCGCCCGTCATGGGGACCTGGGGCCGTCTCGGGGCCCCCGGGGAGCCCTCTCCAACCATGTGGGGTCGGGGTTCTTGGGTGCTCTCTCGGGCCGTGTCGGAGCTCTCTCGCGCTGCCCAGGCCGTCTAGGGCCCCTCTCGGGGGCCTCTCGGGCCGCCCGGAGCTCATTTTGGGAGCCTCTGGGCACGGCTGAACAGCAAATCTCTGGGGAATGTATGTTTTCCATGGGAGATCGCGATTTTTGCTTTCAGAGGGCCTGCTCGGCGGCCACTTAGACCGTCTCGAATGCCTCTTCGTGGCCGTCTGGCAACAGTCTCGGACTGTCTTCGAGCGCCCCCCAGACAACCCGGAGCGCTTCGGGCGCCTCTCGGGCCAGCTTGGGAGCCTCAAGGGTGGCCCGGGGCCCCTCCTGAGCCCTCTCGGGGCCCTCGAGGCCCCCTGGCCCCCAACGCGAACCGGAGGTCGCAATTATGGGCCCTTTTCCGGCCCGCTGCGACGACACCTGGCTGCCCTCCGCCCTGCGCCTCCGCCCCCTGTTCCACCTCGGAGTTCTGCCTGCCGCTCGTCGTCGTCGTCGACGTCGTCATCGTTGTCGTCGCCGCTGCCAACGTCGTCGTCGTCGTCGTCGTCGCCGTCGCCGTCGCCGTCGCCATCGACGTCGCCGTCGTCGTCGTCGTCGTCGTCGTCGTCGTCGTCGTCGTCGTCGTCGTCTTCGTCGTCTTCGTCGTCGTCGTCCGCGGCCCCAGTTGGACGATCCAGGGTCGGGCACGTCATCGTCGCTGGAGGCCCTGGCAGGCCTTTTTCGTAATCCCACGAACTCCCTGAATCGACCCAAGACGAATAACCGGCCCTGGGCTGCTCCTCCTAACGTTCCCGCTCCTGCCCCTGCTCCTGTTTGTTTCTGTTCCGTCCCCCTCCTCCACCTCTTCCTTTCCCCCCCCCCCCTCCTCTCCTTTCTCCTCCGTCCCGTCCGATTCCGACTCCCCGCCCGTCCCTCTCGGGAAGCGACGCGGCGCTCGCGGGGCGCAGCGCCTGTCGCCCTATCCTCTCCCGCCATTTCCGTTTCTCCAACTCCTCGTCCTGCTCCTCTCGTCCTTTCCTTCGCCATTGTTCTTGTCCTCGCGGCGGCCTGGGGGGGCGGAGGTATAAGATATCGTGCCCCCCATACAAGCTTTATGGGGAAATGATATGTTAGGCTGTCTCGGGGGGCATCCGGGGGCTTCCCTTGTGGGACCCTTGGGACTTCCCGTGACCTCGTGGGGACCTCATCCTCATCCTCCGCTTCGTCATCGTCATCGTAATCGTTATCGGCATAGCCGTCGTCGTCATCATCATCGTCGTCCACCTCAGCATCAAAATCATCAGCAGCAGCAGCAGCAGCACCACCATCGTCATCATCATCATCATCATCATCATCATCATCATCATCATCATCATCATCAGCATCATCACCACCACCACCACCATCATCATCATCATCATCATCATCAACATCATCAGCATCAGCATCAGCATCAGCATCAGCAGCAGCAATCATCATCATCATCCTCATCCTCATCTCATCCTCCTCCTCCTCTCATCATCACCACCACCACCACCACACCACCACCACCATCATCATCATCATCATCATCATCATCATCATCAGCATCATCATCATCATCATCATCATCATCATCATCATCATCATCATCATCATGAGCATCAATCTCCACACCATCTTTATCATCCGCATCGTCATCCTCCTCCTCATCATCATCCGCATGGTCGTGGACATCGTCGTCAGCATCATCACAACCATCTCGATCACCATCACCATCATCATCCTCACCTTCGTCATCATCATCGTCATCATCAGCATCTTGTGGGGGTTCTGGGAAAGTACCTGAGGGCCCATTCGAGTCATGCTTGACAGGCGCTTTCGGACAGATGTTGCGCGCGAAAGGGGAAGCTTGAGGATTATGTAATCGGAAGACTTTCTGGTAACATGATGGCGCGTATGAGGGCCCTTTTGGGGGCTGCCTGGCAAGCATTTTGGGACGCATGGTTGGGGCCGGGGGTGGAAGCCTGAGAAATCATGTTCCTGGAAGGCTTCCTGGGAACCTGATTTGTTCGGGTGAAGTAGGGCGCCTCCAGAGGCTTCGGTGCCTGACGCGTTTCCGAGCGTAGCGGCAGGTAGCGCTGCTTGGGAATCTCGTTATTTGTTTTCTTCCGGGCAAGCGTTTAGAGAACATTGTTTGGGCAGAGGGCGGCAACCCGAGAATCATGTTCCCGGGAAGTAAGTTTTGCGGGAACATGATTTGTTCGGCTCTCTTAAGAGGGGTGCCTCTGGGGGCTTACCGAGGGGCCCCTTTTGGCCATGTCGGCAAGCCTATTGGAAACATGGTTGGGGCGGCGGGCGGAAGCCCAAGGAATCATGTTCCCAGAAAGCTCTGGGAAATACGATTTACTGAGGTGTCTTGGGGGCCCGCAAAGGGCTTCCCTGAGGGTCCCTTGGGGGCCTGTTGGGGCTTCCGGGGGGGTTCTCGGGAGCCTCACGGGAGCCCTCCGGGGGCGTCCTAGGCGCCTCTCAGGCCGGAGACCTTGAAATGTCGCGCTCTGCGGGCCCTCTTGGGTCGCTCTTGGGGCTCTCTTGGAGCGCTCTCGAGGCCCTCTTGAATTGTCTGGGGAGCCTCCTGGGCAGTCCCTGGGCTTTCTTGGGAACCTCTTCGGCCGTGTGGAGCAATCTTAAGAGCCTCTGACGCCTTCCGGGACCGTGGCGAGGAGGAACATGGGAGAGCGCAAAAATACTTCAAACATGATTTTCGGCTTCTGGGGCCCTTTGGAGAGGCCTCTGGAGGCGCTCTTGGAGCGTTTTGGCGGCGTCATCGGCC